ATATATATATATACAACCTGCATCACAAGTTTCATCAGTCCAAACAAACAGTAGTGAAAATACCCAGTTAGAACAACAGTCATTAAAACAATATCAAAAGTCTGAAGCAGAATCTCAAGGCAAGAACATACAAACAGAAAGATGACAAATTTATTTGAGAAACAAATGAAAAATAAATGTTAACATGTTCCAACGTGCAGATTTATAATCAATTACAAGTGTGATGATTTTGCCAAAAGATAGTCTGTAACAAGTTAACATTGGGAAGCATTGTTGCTCGGAATATACCCACTATTGTCCAAAACAAATGGGAAAATGCAACCAGCCACGTAATAATGAAATTAGTTTTGATTATAAAGCACATTTAAAGATAAAAAGTTGTGATTTGTATAAATAAATTAATGGCAGTAGAGCAAGAATCCAAGTCTTTCATTGACACWAAGTAAAAACCACAAACTATAAACATAGTTAACTTTTAGCACAGTAGATTGCTCTATGATTAAAATAGGATTGCAGTAAAAAGAAAAAAAATGTCAGTATTTCTTGTTCCTTAATTCTTTCTATACTGTCCATTACAGGAACCGTATTTGTGACCATAAACATGCTATTTCTWACAAAACAACAATAACAAAACATTCTTTGAAAAAGGTGTATTTTTTCAGATTGGACATGCATCTTGCACCCCTGCATGTTTGGAGGTATAAGGTCCCATAGACATGTCCTCTGGTCCTCATGCTCCATGCGCTGGTGGTTGCYCTGTGAGAGCTTTGCCCCAACTGGTCACTCTGGTCCATATGTCTGCCGCTCTCTGCCTGAATACAGCCTGACCAGCTCCCAGGTTGAACCCAGTGGCAGACATGTAAAAGTTTATGACTGTGGAGCGAATATAGGGACCTATGCTTGTAGATCCATAGTGGCTAACTAGAWAAGTGTACTCTGTCCAAATAGACAAAGACAGATAGACGAGCCCCTGGACAATTCCGGTGATGGTGACCCTCACCTGGCTGCTGAACCGTGGATGGGAAACGTGTTGTCCATTTGCAACCATACGCTGCATGTGCCTGCACAGGTAGGCTACAGTGGCGCCACTGGACATCATCATAACAAGAAAAGATGAATAAAAGCGAAACCTTTGTATGCATTGTAGAGTTGTCAATATGTCTTCTGAATTGCTTATCAAATCTATCTCATGTATAATTAGTTGTGTTTCGTTTGGAAAAGTTGTATGGAATTCAAACTCAATGTTTAAAAGTACCAGAGTAAAATCGAAAAAACTGAAAAGTTTTTCAAAAATCATAATGCAGAAGATGATAGGTTTGATGTTTTTCTTAATCCAGAGGAAGAGGGCTGTCTGTGCAGGAACAATCTGGGTGTAGTAAAAGAAGTTGAGCCAAACAGAYGAGGACACGCTGATGGACAAACAGGAGACTGAGAGCAAAAAGGAAACCTGAGCAYTCCAGTCGTTTTCTTCTTTTTCTTCAGAGAAAACGATGCCAAAAGTTGACATCAGGTAAATGGTTGTGCTGCCGATCAAAATACACAGAAGAAGCTTCAGAGGTTGCTTGATCTTTTCTCCATGAAGTGGACGCACCATGCAGAAGATGTAAAACATATTCATTATGAAGTTAATGGAACCAACAAGCCCATTAACTAAAGCCCACGTTAGATAGTCCATCTTTGTGGTGCTGGTTCAGGTGCTTCAGTCCTCACTGGCTCACCTTTGTGAAGGAGACAAGGTAGGTAGGAGGAAAGCAGTGAGGCAATCCAACTTTGTTTAGTGTGATAATTCTGCAGAATTTGCATCACATGCAAATAATGAAAATTGTTCTCAAGAAARTGAAATCATCTGTGAAAAATCATGATTTACACGTTGTTGTATTGTAAATGCCATCATTAATTTCATCCTCTCACCACCGTGTGTGTGCTTTAATAATACGTCTGAGTTTAAAGGCAATTATGAGAGAATATATACTGTATATTTCCTGTGAAAATGCAGTGTGAACGCCATGTGTTTTGCTAAACGTRTAAAAAAGCTGAAACTAGCTTGAAAGAGTAACTGAAATAGCTGAAATTAGTACAAACAAAAAGAGCATGAGAAAGAGAAATTATCACAAAAAGGTGAACTTAGCTGAAAAAAGCTCTAATGAGCTAAAGAAGTGCTAAAAAAGACAGAAAATAGCTGAAATTAACAGAGAGCAGCTAAAAGAAGCTGAAAAATTAATTAGCAGAATAGCAGAAAAGATCAGAATGATAGCTAAAATGCAGCAAAAAGCTAAAATTGGACAAATAAGAGCCGAAGGAAGCTGAAACAAAAGAGTTAAATAAGCTAAACTAAAACAAAAGGTAAAACACAGTAAATATTTATGAACATTTAAACACTTTTAAGGTTGTTGAAAACAGCTCCATCCGTCCGTCCGTCCATCCATCCATCCATCCATCCATCCATCCATCCATCCATCCATCCATCCATCCATCCATCCATTTTCTCCCGTCTATCCGGG